CCCGCAGCCCGGGGGGGTCCGGGCGGCCCCTGCCCTCGCTGCCCCGCACGCTGGGGCATTACTGGGCGTTTCGAGCCAACAGCAAAACTAGCAAGATTTCAAAGTGAAATTCCGGAGGAAATTTAAAGAGCATCCGGATCCGGAGAAAGACAGAAAGAAAGAGGAAGGGAGAAATAAATCAAAACGCGGAGAGAATCTCAGGCAGCTGAAGAAAGGACGGGAGAGAAAGAAGCTGACACCCAGGCAGAGATGGGGTGAGACTGGCCGTTTATTATTCTTGAATTGCTTTTATTATTCATGGCCGCTGAGCTATTTTTAAGGTAATTGCAAAAGAAATGAAGGTTTTAAATTGCATTTTTTCCACATTGCAAGCTTTAAAGTTTAGTTTTGCTTTTTATTTTATGGGTTAGAAACTAGGTAATTGTACGGCTCCGCAACTTCTTTAAATAAACTCGTATGTAAGGGAAGCCTCTAGTGATCTGTATGTTGTATGAAATCCAAACTGGGAGGCTGGGTGGGAGGACTGGAGCTGGGTTGTATTCACAAACTTTTCCAGAAGTTAGAAATCAGGGATTTGGTTTGGCTGTTGTGACTTTGGCATTCAGTAAAATGGATCCTGTTTGCATTTCTAAATGGATAAATAGCTGATTGAAAATCCCTGATGACTTAGCTTATGATCCCCCCTCAGATTTTCTGAGAGTGAAATAATGCTGCATGGATGTGGCAGTGGATTTTTGGCATGGAAATAGGAGCTTAGTCTGGTATTTAATTTATGTCCTAGTTGTAAGTCTCAATCATGTAACTTTAAGGACCTGACTGGTATTGTGAGTTTCTCGTGCAATAAACTCTTCATGGCTGTTTGAAAGTACCGTGGATCTGTAGGAAGCCTGTCTGATCAACTCCCTCCAAATGTGTGGGGAGCTCAATGCAAGAGAAATAAATAACATAATAACATTCTTAGGGGCTTGTTTTCCTTTTGCTAATTTTCCTCTTGGACTAGCTAGATAAAATGATTGAACAGTCAAACCACAGATTCAAGAGGCAGAAAAGGTAGAGGCGAAGAATCAAAAGTGACAGCAGTCTGAATCTGGCGTAGATCCTTTGAAGTTGGCAGAGTGCGTGCTGATCCAGGGTAAATCAGAAAGTGTCCCTGTGTTCCTGTAACTTTTCCTGTGATCCACAAAGTTACTGTAAAACTTTCTAGAAGTGCCAGGAAGAGTTTAACAAGCAGACAGCTTGGGACTAGCACTTTTATTAGTGGATGAATCTTTCTTGGACCTACCGCAGGTACACCCAGCAGCTATGTGATTTCTTTAGAGGGTCGCCAGCTCCCATGGAAAATGTTGGGATAGTGTCACCATCTCAGTCTGCTTAGACTTCACTGTATAATTATAGCGGTGTAGTAGCAAAACTACTGTTAAGCCAGAGATGACGTTTCCACCCAAAATTCCTTATTTCCACTTAACTCCTGAGATGAAAGTGTCTTTTTGCTTGTACATTGATCACATGGGGATATTGAGTAGCTTTCAGCAGCACTTAGATTACTCTGGATACAAAAGAGATTAATAGCACATCGCCTCTTACATCACATTCTGGCAGTTGATTTTAGTTAACTTATTTTTAAAGCAGGGATTCTGGTCTCATTCCTCCATATTAGATTTCTTTGTAACATCATGTTCTGGTTTTCACGGATAAATTCTCCGTGGACTCTTTTGTATCCACTGTACTGTACGTATTAATGCGTTAGCACGTCCTCTCTGAAGAGGACAGTTGTAAGTAACACTTGATCCTGAGGGAAGTGAATTTAGTTAGGTCCTAGCTGAGTCTTCAGTGGACGCTTACTCACATTTCTCTGACCCTCTGCTGATAGTATTGTCAAATGGAAGTACAGGTAGCTGCAACTTACGGGCTTCTAATTTGAGCAGTATAGCGTTTACCTGCTTGTCACATATGTCAAGCAAATGAATTCACACGCTCTTATCTATACTGTCAACCCACTGACCTCTGCTAAACAGGCAGTTTGAACTGGCCTTGTCAGAGGGGCTGCTGGTTGTGCTTTTGGAGCTCTGGCAAGGGCAGATCAAAAATAGCAGCAGATCTTAGGGATTTGTTGATGCTGAGCAGGCATCTGTGCCTGGAAGTACTATGGGTCCTGTAGATTGTAATGAAGATGCAGAGGCATGGAGCATTTTGCAATGTGCATGTGTCTCCACTTCTCTGGTTCTAATTATTAGTGGACATATTTTCTGGAATGTATAAAGAATTACTTAGATGCAGTCTGGCTCTGCTGGGTTTTTTAACTTTAATTGCTGTACAGACTTCCAGCAATGGGTCTGTGTGTCTCAAAAGAAAGAGCTGCTGAGGCTTAGTAGCAGAAGTAACAGTTGTCCCAGGAAGGTGAATGCACAGATTGTGTTGTAGACACCCAGTAGCATAGTGTTCAGTAGCCAAGATGCTCTGTAGATGGAGACTGGTTTCCAAAAGGAAAAAAAAAACCCAGCTCTCAGCTGTGTTGCGTCTTTAAATGCCCTTGATCCCCTGTCTCTGTGCCTGACCTTGCATGCTTGTCGCTGTTCCCCACGCTGATCCAACAGGAGCATATTCAGCCAGGATTCCTTTGCTGCCCTTTATCTGCAGACAGGCCGTGAGGCAGCTGCTTTTCATTCCTGTGCTAAGCCCTGCTGGGTAATCTCTTGGGAGTTGGGGGAGGCAGAAGGGAAAGCAGCCCCTAGCCAGCTCCCATTGCTGGAGCTGCACTACACCTTCCCGTTGTGGCTGTGGGGTAGATGGTCTGGCCTCCTTCGGTCCCATCTGGACACTAGCAGCATCTATGCGTTTTCCCCAAGGTGACATTATGCAGCACAGAATGAAAGCATGGCTGCAGCTAAGAGGGCTTGAAAACCTGCCTGGTGTTTAGAACAGAGGGCTGGGAATCAGTCCTCCCAAACTTTGTTCCCAAAGCAGTTTTGCAGTTCAGTGTCCTGGGGGCTTGTGCCCAAATCCTGGGTAGGCAATATCAAAGCACACTCCCTGCACCCATTTACACCCTCCAGTTTCCATAGGCTCTGGAGGGAGTTACACCCAGTCCCTGGCTTTGAAAACCTGCCTGGTGTTTAGAACAGAGGGCTGGGAATCAGTCCTCCCAAACTTTGTTCCCAAAGCAGTTTTGCAGTTCAGTGTCCTGGGGGCTTGTGCCCAAATCCTGGGTAGGCAATATCAAAGCACACTCCCTGCACCCATTTACACCCTCCAGTTTCCATAGGCTCTGGAGGGAGTTACACCCAGTCCCTGGCTC